AAAATGAAGATAAAAGTTTAATTGGATTTTATTGATTATGTTCACAAGAGTACAGAAGTCGGTTTTAAGATGAAAACCGAGATCATTTTATGTTCGTGTACCATGTGTTCGGAAAGATCCTCGTACTATCATAAATTCTGCTATTTATAGTACGGTGGCTTTTGTCTTCTTCCTCGAAATGGATAGAGATGCATTTAATATTGAGCTGCTTTGTTTTGAGGCGGCGGGAAACATCAATGATTGCCTTTTTGTTTCGTTGGTCCAATCAGATGCTTCTAATGATTACTTTCTGTTGGAATGCTCAAACTTTATGGTAGTCGGTTGATTTGGAGTCGGTTTACTTACGTTGGTTTCGGATGTCGGTTTTGATCCTTTTTGAAGGTCTGTTGGAAGTTGGATCTTTCGGGAATCGGCAGTTCTTAAGAAGTCGGTAATTTGCTCTAATATATTCCGACTTTTAGGACTTTAATTCTGATTACTGGATTTGATATCAACAGTGAGGCCCCCGACATCAGTAAGTATTTGAAGCTTTTTAAATGATTGCTGATGTCGTTTGTTGTTTCACCTTATTCCGACTTGCTTTGCGTTGTTTACCGACATGAGAACACTTTGCTTCGTTTGACACTTCACGGTATTTGATCTGACATGGCGGCTCTTAAAAGACGTGTCCGCATTAAATGGGCCCAACGGATATAATTTTGTAACGACATGGCGTTTCAGGATATGGCCACGTGGGATAATAATTACTGTAACGTTATGTCCCTTAAAGACACGTCCGTTACACGCGCCGTTTCCGGATGCTTCTAACAGTCATGAATCAAAACCTATAAATTAAAGTCGGTTTTGGGGCGCAAAAAATTTCTGTACCTTTAACTTCTTCGATTTTTCTTGCATTCCTTTAGCAGTCTTTTCTTTACGTACTTTCCTTGCGCACTCGCTTTTTTCCCTGTGATCTTTTCATCAATTTAGAGTTCTTCGAAAGTTTTGGTAAGAGTTTGCCCTAATTTTTCTCGTTTTCTTGTTCTGTTTCGAATTATTCCTGTATTTTTCATCGATTTCGAAGAGAGATGTCTGCACAAACTGAGAATAGCAGTAGCCGAACGATTTCGGATATTCCGATCCTTACCGATGAGGATTTGGAATTGCCTCTGGAGTATTATCGGTGGGATCCTCTTTTGGTAAAGAGTCTTAATCTCAATAGGGATATCATCAATGAGGACAAGCGAGTCGAAGAGGACGCTATGTCACTTCCGGATTATTGGAGGCGTCCTGCCCGTCGGTGGCCAGAGCCGATTGATGAGTATAGGGGCGAACCGAGTATTCTTACCGATGCCGATATCGTTATGCTTCGAGGAGAAGTGTATATCCCTTCGTCGGTAAAGTTGTTCGCTCCATATCCAGGCGAAAGGATCACGTGTCCGCCTCCAGGTTGTGTTGGTGTATTTGCCGACTCACTGAGATCTGGACTTCGGTTTTCCCTCCCGGCTTTAATTACAGACTACTTAAGAAATTGGGGAATTGGTCTGTGTCAGGTAGCTCCCAATTCGTGGAAGAGAATCATTGGTCTTCTGGTTCTGTTAAAGGAAAAGGGTTGGGATATGCCAACCGTTGAAGAACTAAGGAGCCTTTTCTCGTTTAGGAGATGCACTGACAGGCAAGTGGCAGATCCTCTGATTTGCTATGCTTGCGCAGGAAGACCCCAAAGCGGTTTTAAAATTGGTGATTTAATCACAGAAATCCCGGATTCGCTGCACGGGTTCCAAGAGGAATGGCTGTGGGTCGGCGGGGATTGGCAGACTCCGAATTTCAATAAGCCCTTGATTGATGGAATGTCAATTCCAATTAATATTAATTCTGCAGTTTGTAAGTATTGTCCTTCCTTCCAACAAACCGAGTTTGTTCTGACTTGCTTTTTATTTGTGTACTAACAGGTCAACAACTTTACTATTTGCAGCCAAAAGCAAAGGAGTTGAACTCAGCGCGACTTTGAAAGAAAGAATTTCCGAATTGTTTAAGCTCAAGAAGACACAACGGGGCTTCAAGTTGATTCTAAAGGATTCAAGGCTGAAAGCTGCTGGGTTGTGTCCAGAAATCTTAGACGGTTCTTTTCAGCCAGGTAAATTCAAATCGAATTTTTCAATCTTATTCAAAGTCGGTAGCTTTTGGATATCATGATAACTCGGTTTCATAATTGCAGTGTATTATCCACTTCTCGGAGTTCTTGGTTTTAAGACCGTTCGTGACGCTAGAGCCTTCCGACAAAGGAGTCCGAATTTGGAACTGCGAACTAAAGTCGGGAAAAGCAAAGAGTTGCGTCTGACAGGAATGGGTCGCAAGAAGTTAGTGAAGGCCTACCTGGAAAACCCGATTATGAATCCACCGAAAGCCGACGTCGGGGATGGTGCGACATCGGCTGCTGCTATTGTGGTCCCGCAGCCTAATCCTTTGGCTATTGCAGCAGAAGGTCCGATGGCTGCTATTGCTGCTGCCACTGCTACCGCCGCCGTTTCTGAGATTGAGTCTGCTATTGAAGTCGCTGTAGCAAAGAATCCACCTGTTATTGACTTGGCATCTGATGAGCCTGAAGGTGACCGCGAAATTACGGGCGAGCGTGAAGTGCCCGTTACTCGGTCAAAGAAAAGGCGTGCAGAAGATGTTCCAGCTACCGAAGAACGGAGAAAAAAGAAGCACGATGGCGGTGATCGCGAAAAGAAGAAGGAACCCATCATTGATCGATCCTTCTTGCCAATGGATGAGGGGAGGTTTCTGAACTTCAGGCAGCCTCGGGAATCGGTCGAGAAGTGGTTCTCGACTTTTGAATCGGTTGAGATTCCCGAGATATCGAGTACTGTGGAACTGCCTGCCCATGTCATAGATGCCGCTCGGGTCCCCATGATGGTATGGGATCCGAGATCTGAGATCGGCGTGTCCTCACTGGCGAGTGCGTATAAGTTCAAATACGCCAAGGCTTGTTTGGGTCGCGCGCTTGTTAGTTTGGTGATGGCCGAGGATGAATTTCGGCTTAATGCGGCCCAGGTCGATGAGAAGAAGCATACATTGGAACTTAGAGATGGAGCACTTGCATCTCTAAGAGAAGAAGCAGCAGCCAAGGAGAAGGAGCTGCAAGTGAAGATTGATGAGCAAACCGAACAATTGACGATTGCTCAGGGCGAAATCGAGGCTTTAAGAACGGATAAGGCTAGCCTTGATAATGATGTCTTGAAGTTGACGAGCCAGGTCATCACCTCCGAGCAACGCGTGAAAATGCTTGAAGAGCAATTATCTCGGTGTGAGGGCCTCCTCCGAAAAGAACAAGAGGCTCACGAAGTAACTCGGAGGAGTCGGTCTGAGGTTGAGGAGTTGCTAAAAAAGGACCGGGATGCTCATCTGGCAAAACTCGGCAAATTGCAAGAGGAAAAGATTAAGTTCGCCGAGGAAAAGTATAATGACGGTCTCCGAGCCGGGAGGATCCTTGAGGCAGAAGCCAACCGACTCAAGGAAAAAGCAGAGTCCGACTCCGAAGACGAGGATCGTGAATTTGAGATGAACACTTGTCTCAACCTACGCTGGATGGTTGAGCGTTTTGACGACGGTTTGTATGGC